AGTTCCTAAGTGCAATATTTACTTAACACTGTATTGCGAGGTTCCTTCCATGTTTTATTGTTGAACCGCAGAGAAACGTGCGTCAATTTATGTCAATAACAAATTTGGTAATCGCCATATCTCCATTTCTGTCGCATTTTAGGTCTTAATATCACAGACATGAAGGGAACGATTTATCCGATGACCTAAATGACCAATTGGCTCCATATTAGATTTACTTAATTTCAGCATAGGCATAATAAAAGGTGTTGCATGACGCCCGCAAAAGACGACAAACTATTTGAGCCAAATTGAGTTTAATTTGTAGTACCAGTGTTATTATCGTCGTGCTTGCTGCCACTTCATAGAAGACGGTTTACTTTCCTGCTGTGTTGAAGGGACGCTCGTGAATTTCATCTGCCATTTCTGTGAGTTCCCGTAGTGGTGTGTCAGAGCTCTATAACGAAGCATTTAGCCACAGATTTGCGTGGAACGGGGTCATTGGCATCGGCGAATTTGCTGATGGAGCAGAGGAGGAGGTGGAGGAGTAGGAGGCGGAGATCTGTCAGTACGTGGGTTCCTGGAAAGGAGGTGTCGAAGGCGGGCATCGTTGGAACTGGTCATTCGTGTGACGATCGCAGACTTCATAGGGGGTTTCATAGGGGGTTTTGGATGGCAGTGTTACCAGCAAGTCGGTAAATTCTGCAGCAACATGCATCGGCAGCCGTGCAGCAACATGCGAATACGTGGAAGATTGCGAGGTAATCCGCTGATTGTCGAAATGAGTCTCAATTTGCCTAGCCATGCTCGGGCGTTGAAGCTGCACGGAGAATATTGAATGATATGCTGTTTTCCGAACGGGGGTTTGTGGACACAGGGTCGCTAAATGTGCACATAAGAGAGGATCGTGAAAATCTTGAACGAGGTCACGAATTAGCAGGAGCACCAAACTAAGCGGTTTGGTTGCACTGTCTGTCAAGACTACTTATCAACGGTTCGTGACAATCCGAGAACCGAAGTACTACAAGCGATGGCACGTGCGACCATTTTAATGAGCGCTAAGCCTACTAATTCTTTTTGTGCGGACGTGCGGTTGAGTGAATATTGGTTGACAACAGCAACCAGTAGACATTGAGACCAGATTAACCCATGAGCAAGCTTCACTTACGCTCGTTCGCTGACAGATCACTGTTGGTGTTACTCCTATTCTTGAGGTCAGCGCTAAGCCCCACCGCTGCATTTGGCCGTTGTTGACGTATATTGAATGAGGTGATCCAAAAAATTCTGACAGTAAGAGACGCTTTGCCCGCCCATAAAATGTTATGATTCTGTTCACTCACATGATACGGCACAACCTTCTAAGGATGGGCCGATAACAGCTTTTTGTCATCAGCGGGCCTGGCAGCATTAACAGCAGCATACCATGTATTGCAGAATTTTCTTACACGTAGGGGCCTGTGTCTAACTTCTAATAAGTCAATCCCCACCTCGAGTTCCCAAACATTATCGAATTCATCGGACTGCCAAAACTGCTTTTTTTTAATTTCACATAAGATTTGTAAATTGTCTTACTTTACCAATGGCTTAATGATAATTTAGCAAGTTTCTCGGTATCCACGGGGATTACTGCATCTCATTATGCTTTAATTGTTGTCTCTCACAGTGAACCATTTCAGTTTCGATTAAAGCTCTCAACGACCGTCGGATACTTTCAGTTCGTTGCGGTATCCCTCTAGCTAGCCTCTTTCTATCACATCGACGCATCCCTTTCGTGCACAGCACATGTATTTGAAGAAGCAAGTTCTGGCTTCGGTCGCCATGAACTCACCATTTTGGATATTGGCTAGCAAATGACGTAATATTCTCATGCGCTTTAATCTGTGGATGTAATAAATTATTTCAACGCGTTTTTGTAAAGCAAATAAATCTTAGACAATTTTGATTCTTAATCAGATTTAACCCCACTAAGAGAATAGCACGTTTGTGAAGGATTTATTTTAAGCAAGATCTTAAACGAGCAAGAAAAGATGTGGGAATTATTTAGTACAGTGATGTACAAGTCCAATGTAGATACTGTAGGTACAAAACTGTCGTTGCTGGCTGTTAAACGGGCCTTTTCTACCAGAATTGAGGCGTAATCAGCAAAGGGGAGGGGGAGAAGGAGGAGGTACAAAACCCTGAGCACTAGACCCAGCACCAAATCGTGTTGCTTAGTTTTTTTGTCTGAGGTCGATCACAAAAAAGTACCCAAACGGTTGCAGGCGAAGATGTTGGTAGTTGTAGAAGGAAAAAAAGAGGCGACTCTGTCAGTGGGATAGTCGTGTTTGAGGTCCTGCATGTGTCTGTGATTATGTCGGGGCGGTAGAGCGGGCGGTGGCAGAGTCGTAGAAACAAAAACCAAAATTACTGTTAGAAAAGAGCAGATCAAAGTCACTTCCGAAGAGCATTCCTGAGTTGTAGCCCCACACGCGAAATCATTGGCTGTGCATGGTCGCTTAGGCGCAGAGCAAACAACTGTTCGTGTGTACAGGATTAGAGGAGATGCGTGAGCACGGAGAGCGGTGTAATGGGTTAAGACACGGTGAAGTAGACAAAATAATAATGGGCGTCTCAATGGGACGGCCTAAAACACAAAGACGACTTGATTAGATGCATTGTCTAAAATCGTCGGGTAGATGCTCAACTTATTCCTACTACGCTCACTGGGAAGAGCGATTTGAAGCTCAAAAGTTGATGTCAATGCTACTGAGGCCACCTCCTCCTACTACATGCGGGGTTTTCGACACGAACGAAGATGCATTTCTGCATTTATACAGCGTCAAATTAACCAATCAAAAGGACTAGGCTATTCTGTAGGTGAGCAGCAGGCAGTGAGAATTGTACAACGTAAGCCTAAGTATTTTCCCTGAGCTAGCATGCTTAGGTTTGATTAAAAAACCAACGGTTTGGCAAAAATTAACGACACCAAAGCGCCAAATAAAGTTTGTAAAGGAGGCTTTCTTTGGGAACTGATAATTTAGTTGTACACGTAGTATTACTATAAAAAAGCAAGTAGCAATACTAAACGAACGTACGGGTAAATCACAAGCCGTTGTTTATTCCCACCGGGGACAATTTTTCAGCCTTTAAATCCTCTTCATCCACTGGTCTAATTGTTGTAGGTGTTTCCTCTTCCCTCTCAGTCGCAGCCATAATCTCTGGAGTCGGTATTAGGGTCGGAATATGTCCGTCCATTGTGCCCGATTCTTGTTTCAGCTCGTCGGCACTAGACAGGTCCCCCCAGTCCGACTGGAGTTGTGAGGGCTCGGTGTCGACCGTAGTTGAAGATTCGCATGTGCCAGCTAAAAGGTCTGCACTCTGGAAAACCTTAAATGGGTCATCCCCTGCCACTATTGTGCGTGTGTCTGCTGCATTTGTATCTCTGTGCACCACATCTGCCATTTCATCTACCAGCTTCATTGAATCTTTAGAGAAACTGGTAGGCAGGAGTCTGCTGCTTGACATTATTTCACCCAATGCGAATCCAGAGGAAGCGGTGGATGTGGGGTCTGGTGAACTCTGGCTTCGAGATCGTGCCTGGCTCTCGGAATACGCACTTGTAGATGTCGCCTCATCCCTTGAAACATCACCAACCGTGTCTGCTTCCAACTTCAGAGCCTTTACCGTTGATTGCATGTCCGTAGAGTAGGGTTCAAAAGCACTTGTGTGCCACCGTGATTGGCCCTGCACGTACATAAGTTGCTGCTGCTGCTGTGGTTGGTCAGTGAAAACGGATATGTTGGAATAGTTGCTATTGCTGTACCCAGGATACACCTGCGCTGTAGAGACACTAGGATAGTGGTGATAATGAACCACGGTTTGGGGGGTCTTAGGAGTGATGTAACACATTCCAGCGGCGCTATAGGCTATCGATGTTTGTACAGGTGCATAGAGAGCTGCCGAATTGAAGTCAATCGGTGGATAGGCCTGCGCTTGAGCAACTCGTGCGGCGGTTTCGTCAAGTGGTATGTCGTAGATTTCAGAGTACAACGGAGCCAGACGAGTGCGATACCAGTTGTTGCGATACCATTGAATGGGAGATTGCAGTTCCCGGGTAACCCTCACCAGAAGGTTGATCTCCGTAACAATCTGATCAATAAGGTTTGACGTCTGCAAGGGATTACTCGCTAGCTGATAGCGTAAGGCAGCCAGCACGCGGTCTTGTATTGCTGCTACTTTTAGGGGCTCTGATATGCCTGGTCGGTCTGAAAGGAAATAAACGCCCGTTATTTTGGGCGTCAGCCTCAAGAATCTTCTATTTTCACAGAAAAGTGCAACCCCATTATTGACCCATTACGGCGAAAGCATTCTGCCACGGCGTGTAGATGCCTAGTGATCCAGTAATCTTGATTGATACTCCAGCCAATGTATAATACCGTGAATTCATGCTACCATGTCCAGTGCTTACCTGGCTTCGTCAAAAGAACAGCACAAATGAGACCAACGTCCATGTCGTTCAAGCCTAGAGCATTGAAGCTCTCGAAGAATTCGAACATCAAGCGCACAACATTCGGCTAAAAGAGGCAGAAATCAATTATAGTTTCGACTTTCACTTTCGACTACATCCAAAATCGTGTTGCAACGAGTGGAGTTGTGTTTTGGACCAAACTGCAAAACAGACTTTCCCCCAAACACTGGCGAATTTGTTGCACTCTGGCGATATTGGAATCACATGGCGACTTCCATAACTGAGATAAGGACCGAAGATAAACTCACGCTATACATGACATTGTGTTTAGGTAAGTGTCGCGATTTCATGTTAGTATTAAAAATTCTGGCCAGCGAGATGCAGCCCCTGAAGCTATCCCCAAAGCCCTAGTCCATATTGAGGCACCTAGAGGACAAGCCTGTTTGGCAAGATGTCGTACCAGTTGACGCCGTGAAATATGAGCCAAGGTAGGCCCATCGGTGACATCATATTTAAACACCGAGGCAACATTGGTTCTGAAAGTGATCATTAATCATCAAATAAATATGGGTTCCAAATTACATCAGGCTTAATTACGCTGCCCTTGTAAACTCTTCGGACTATTCCTCTATGCAGGATACTTTTAAGCAAGTTGAATCCTTGCAATCTCAGTGGATAAGGGCACTAATATCAAGGTCATAACTTGGTCACTCGTTTGTGGTTACTTTAACACGAAGCGGTTTCATCCGAACTCAGTCCACGGGGTATGAGGAAAGTCGTGAGGCAGTTGCTCTCCGAATCACTTGACACTTGAGTACAAACCCAGACTACGAGGTCCAGTGAGCAATGTTTAAATTGGATAAAACTAGCCACGTTCATTTGAATCTTTTCGTAGTGACCTAATTTAATTGGAACTAAAATCAGCGTGAAGTAATGCCAAAACGAGTGCGTAGACACGCGCTCCCCAGCAAAGCGAAATCAGCCATATCACAACAGCTCGTGACCAAACATGAAGCTGGCGAACGTCTGGTGTCAATTATCAGAGATCACTGCTTTGGTTGCCTATCAGCACTGTCTGAAAATGCGTTGATTCTGTCTGCCTATGATTGCACTAACCCTTATGGGCTGTCAGAATGAAAGTCAACTCTCTTATCAAAAGTTTGGATTTCAATTTTACATCTTGTCATCTCAGGTAAGATAGCAGCTTTATCAGAACCTCGAAAACTGGACATTCAAAGGTTACGTGTCCTGTGATAGGAGCATCAGTGAAAATGACTTATTCACACATTTCGTTTACGAGCAAGGATGTATCAGACTGGTAAATATCTTGTGTCTCGGATGTCGCACAACAGTTTGTTTGTCTTCGCGCTCTCGGCAATGTAAGTGTGGTGACGCGACGGCTTCGATCCACAACCCCAAGAGCTCTTAGAGGTCCAACGGATTTTTTTACTTTTAAGGTGCTTTCGGAGTCTCATGCGAGTGACGAACTTGGTCTAATGAATCGATTTAGGTACTTGTGCTTCAAGCCAATCTGGAGTGTGACCTACACTCAAGGTTTTGTGTAGCTGCCTTTAAATTAAAGACACTTAGAACCGGCGGCCCCTTTGAAAAATCCTCGATTCAAATGAGTGGGTGAAATCAATTTCATACCATTGATGAGAATAAACACCAAAAAATGTAGCTGTAGTCTAGCTCTTTTGAATTTATATTCCTGCAGGAACCATAACTCGCGTCATTACTTTGCCAAATCCACTTATAAAATGTTCGATTCGATCAAGTCTAAGCATTCGTGGAACACGAATCACCATCGTATGTTTAGACTAGCATCACCCACACAATGATTTTCCTCTTTAGAAAATTAGCCAAGTGTCTTGCAATGCCGCATACTTTGGGCGTGCAGAAGGCATCTACAATTTACCACCGACACAACTTCACAAATGCTATATGGAAAACAGGGAGAATTAAAGTGTGGGCATGGAAATGGATGGAAGGAGATGGAAAGTGTATATGGTGAAAAGTGCGCGAAGGCATGTGGAGTGGAGTAAGTCGGGAGTTAAGAAAGCCAATAAACGATAATAAAACGTACCGTGTACACAAAGTCGAGCTCAGTCTTATTGATAGTTCTACCGTCACAGAGCATGACCGTTCGCTCAGTAAGGGAGATTGTGCGCGACACCTGGACCAGCCAAACTTCAAAAAAAGCAGCCTTGATCAATACCAATTGGTCTGGTTGGGTGAGTGAACTGAAGTCAGGAATGCGTTTGGCGAATTCAACCACCTGTTGAATGTGCGGCACAACCATTACACTGAGAGTCTCGTGCATTCGCAGACGTTGATCGTCGAAATTTTCGGGATAGAATTCGTGTCCGATGGGCACCTGAACCGAAGACATGATACAGACAAAACACTCCGGTTATTTAGTGGTCAAAATCGTTACGGTGAGTAACTAGTTATGTTATTCTGAATCATTCATGAAAAAAAAGTTATTTTCTCTCCTTTACCGACTTTGAAATGAAACGACGGATGCAAATGAGCTCGTGCGCCTACTGGTCACAAGTGACACATATTCCCCTATTACAGCGGTCTGCATCTACTAAGTTCTTGATGAAGTCTTGTTATAAATGACAAATTCCAAAGTTAAATTTCCAAATGCGAAACTAAGGAAATTACGACACTCCGTTCCAAATCTTCATTAGAGAAGAAAGATGTGGTTGATGCTTTCTTAACTAAAGAGGACTGAATGGCACTATCCACGAGCTGTAGGCGCTTTGAATTTTGGATTTTGGCTTGAATCTTGGTGACCAAACATGCACAATTAGATGAGAAAAATGTAATCATCACTGGCGCATTACACGAGCACCCCATTGGTTACCCAGTAGCGTGCACACACACACACACTGCGCACACAGGCACGCATCCTGGGGTCATGATAGTACGCGCGTACACAAACATGTTTAAACTGGAGCAGTTGTTTACGTTTTCATTACACGCATTTATTAGCGCCATTTTCTATTCACACACACACACGCCCACAAGGAATCCGCCTTATGTTAACCGTCCGGGGCAAACATCAAAGCGGCAAAGTCGAGCAAATTTGGCGGAAAAAGAAAGGTGTTTGAGCCTGGTAGTTCGCGTAAAACCCTAATGAATCACCAGATCTATCCGAGGTCTACATTAAGAAATGGTAGACGATTAAAATGCTAGGACGTGGTCAATATAATCAGCGCTGTAACCCGCCTGAATAAGTACTTCCTTTACAGGGATTTTGTGACCTTAGTTACTACTACACTACACACGTTACAAGTGTGTTTGTTTTTCAACGCGTTCTAAGGTTGCTTTTGAAATAAACCATCCAGTTTTCCAACGTTGACAATGTTTGGAAAAGGACTGTCGATTTACGCAGTTAACACAATTTATTATTTTTTTTACATGAATTGTTCCGATTTTCAACCAATGGACTTATGCTAGAACCTCGAGCTGATATTGACATGCCAGTAGACTACAATCGTTAATATTAACCAGAAGAAATTGTTGCTGTGACTCGTTTGTGGGTCATGATGCGCCGCAAAATGTGAAAGCGGATTACAGTCTTCTGCTGAAGGCGCTGCCTTGGCTGTCCGAAATCATGTGCTTCTCTGCATGGTTTGTTTCGCGTCGACATTCAACATTGTTGAAAATGGAGTTTCAGACATAGCACCTGACTCGAATTCTCGAATTCACCACAGGTATTGCTTACTATTGAGAAGTCGCAGTGATTCGGAAAACGATACACAACTGCTCTCAATATGAGTAAACAATAGATGAACACTACAACAATGAGACGGTGTTTAAGCTGCCTAATTTAGTCATTTGGATCATGAGTATTGCCGGAAACTCAAATGCCCACAAACTGTCTGCTTGTCAGTGAGACGATCAATCCCACAGTCATCCATGTCCGCAATAGCATTGTGGTTAAGGGAGGTCCAGCACAAAAGTCAATTCACAGTTCAGGATCACACCTCAAAAATTTCATCATTTATGCAAAACTATTTCTCGCGCATGATTGCATTACTATTTCACACTTGTACAGACCTTTGGTCGAGTTCTGGGGATGGCCTAAATTGCCTGAAAATGAGTGGAATTTACTCCTTTGGTGCATACGTGGGCTCAGGATTGAACCGCTGTTTTGTGGGAGCCTGAGGCGACCGGAGTAGCAGTGGGATCAGTAAAAGTTGCACGGTGACGAGCAGCAACACCACGACGGGCACTTGCTCACGCCGTAACAGTGGAGCCAAGCTGGCAGCCACAAATCGGAAGGTGGCCCGGCGAAGGGAACGCCACGTGGTAAACAGATAGGTCTCTAAACCTGCTTACAGGTCGATGGTCCTCAGGCATAACGCGTCTTTGATTGGAAACTCGTGCAGGCGTGTCGGCTTATTGCCGCAGTTTTCCAAAATTAAAAGTAAAGTTCTACTCCGGTACAGCGCAATTCACATTCAATTTTGAATGCAAATTACCTGTCAATGTTTAAAACTACTGTAAATTCCAACCTGAGAGGATGAGTATCAAGTTTGAAAGGTTTACATGATCTAAAATTCACAAAAGCCTTGAGGTTAGTGACTGAATACAGTAATTTGAAGTGGCTTTCAACAAAAAGCAGATTTAACGCAAGAAACTGCGCTTAAAAACTACAATTTTTGGTCTTTAACGCCGGACCAGGTGTGTCGCAATTTCATCTACAACTAGCTGCGCACATTGTAGCAATTTATGGGTTGATTTTGATTAATAGCCGATAAAAAAGCGCAAGGAAACTTAAGAGCCTGCCTGTCTAGTTATCGCGTCAGTTTTCCGGGTTTTATGGCACTTTTACACGATATTTTGTCTATTTACTTCTCAGATGAGCATATTAGACGTCAGATGAAAAGCCTTTCTCAATTAGATACCACTTTAGAAGTAGGAACCTGTCTAAAGGTACTGAATCGTTCCTAAAATTGTCTGTGTTAGGACCCACGCAGGCAGATCCAGTTCATTTGAATACCCTAGGCAGCGAAATCATTTCGGCGACTTGTAGAGAAACCTGAACCCCGGAAGACAAGAAATCGACTTCAGTTGGTATCATTAGATACTTCCTCGCACAAAGATAGTGAACCACGTGTATTATTATAGTAATCACCGATTAGTGACATGGGAAATAAAGCATTCGCATGTTTACATGCCACTACAGAATAACAATTTTGAGTGATTCGGCGAAATTAAATCAAGAGGGCTACCGGATACGGTTCAACGGTCAATTGCCTATAACAACCACATCCGGATAAGAAAAATGCAACTCCTACCACTAAAATCGGATTAACCAATTTCGTTAAACGTGGCCAGTTAATTCTATAGACGCACCACCCCACACACCACATGCACGTAGCGAACCGCGCTTCGGGTTGTGTGGCTGTTAACCAATCGGTAAGCCGTACAACTCGCGTGTATGCGCTTGTCCCCACTTAACGAGAGTGTGAGATAGACAGACGCGTCAAATGCTTTTAGCCAATAAGATAGTAAATTGGGCACGCGCAAAAACCACCGTCAAGACACCCTCACCTGATTTATTGCTAAACCAGTATTCTAAAAGTGTAGTCCTATTGGTGTAGATTTTTTTGACATGCTTCGCATAATAGCGCAAAATAATTAGTAAATTCTAGCCACCTAAACTGCTGCTTCTGAGACGTGCAACCTTGAAAAGTGTAGTGACGAAGCAAATCCCACGAAAGTCTGATGATGTATAAGGCCTAAGACTACAGATTGCTGATAGAAATCTTGGTGTTCATTTAAAATCCAGTCCCTCAAAAACCCAGTATAGGACACAACGGTTTGAACTACTTTGGAAACTAATACTGCCAATGGAAAATGACCAATTTGTAGCCCTCAGATGAGGGAGGAATTGGGACTAGTGCTGTTTTGACAAAGCCGGGATGCACACAAGTAAAATGTGCAAACGTTTACCTTGAGATCACGTCAGCTGTAGGTGGAACTATGTTCACGAATTCTTCTCGAAGTTAACTACAGCTATGTGTGTCACGCCTCAAATGGTCACGTACAGGCCTTATTAGAACTATTGTGTGCAGATTGCAGCGGTAAATCACAAGTAGGGCATTTTCACTCATCCTAGAAACCGATTTCGTGCGAAGGCCACGGTAAGCACGATTAAAAGTGCACTGAGACCCTTTGGGGAATTCTCCGTATTTCAAACGGGTTAACACAAGATGCGAAAACCCGACACCTAATGAACCTGCTCGAGCGCGATATGAGAAGCCGAAAAAGATATTGAGGTTTAAATTTAATTCAGCTAATACACTGTCACATGTTACGTTGTAAACGAACTCATAAAAATCTGATGGGAATTAACTACTACCAAAGTCTTTATCATTAATACGCCAATTCTATTGGAATATTATTAGTTAATTATTATACCAATGGAAATTTGATAGTTCGAGGAATCAAAATCACTAGACGATTTTAAACCGAGCCGGAGATGCTCAGATATTAGCGCAAGCGTCTGTGGGGTTATGCACTTAAATAAATAAGAACACGCCACTTGAATACGAATAGTTTTTGAAAAGGTTACCAAACGGTCAAAATAATATCTTCACGAGAACGAGTAATGCGGCAAGGACGTGGGAATTCCCCCAATATACTACTGATGGTACTCAAACAGCACCAAAATACCATGCTGGCAAATGACGTTCGGACCCGAGTAAAATAGTGTCCAGATGTTCAGAAAGATTTCATGTCTGTATTGCCTCTGTGTTATGCGACATCAACTGGGTCTGCTGCAGTAACATTGGGGCGAATTGTCTACACACAGCTTCAACGCATGGGAAAATTGCAAATCCATCGGATGGTTACAGAAAGGGCCGCGCCCAAGGAGTCATTGAAGCGACGATTTGTGCGAAAAGAAGACCTCAGCAACAGACGTCAGGTGCACACGTTGAACATGACAATAATGAACTGATTACTGAGCGTCCCCGTTTCTAAACTAAGCCAGATCTCACCGATAAACCAAAGCGTCAGGTGTAACTGGTTCATCAAAACTAAATCCGTGTGTAAATCAAATGGAATAACTTGACAACTCACCGTCGCTCTACTCCAGCATGCTTACATAAACAGACAGCAACGCAGTTTCCATGGTAAAACACGAACATTGATTACTTTAACTCGCATGCGTGCGTGATCGTTCAGAAGGCAACAATCAGAGGTCAAACGCCACGCGAAAAGTGACGAGACAACAACAATTAAGCTCTTTTGGGTCTTCCGCAAGGCATCCATGTACGAGTGTGTGTGTGTGTGTGTGTGTGTGTGTAAGTTTAAGTACGCAGTCTTCCAGCTGTGAACGTGGACTGTTGCCTATGCAGGCCCGTCATAACTGTGCAAGTGAACTTCCTAAATTTAAGCTATTGCCATAGAATCATGCGGCGAGTAGAATCGCAAAAATTAGATCCATCATGCGAAATAGTTGAGTGAAACAGCTCATAAAAATACTATCGCATTTTGTCTTAAAACTTTGTGGTATTGCCAGTAGTCTACTCTTAGATTACTATTAGAACATATTTGTGACACTTAGTAACATGCAATCCTCATTGGCCTTTGCCGCTTTTAGCCCACATCCCATCCCCTCACCCATGAGGACACTCTAATTTACTGGGTTACATCACGATTTGGAACAATTGCTCTCCATCAAGGTCACAGCCCGGCACCGCATTCCCTGTACAAACCCATGAAGTGGAAATCACGGCTTTTGCAGTGGGGTTCCCATTTCATCGCACGGTCCACATGGTCACTGCGAAACAGGATTGGCAGTGTTTTCAATTCTTCCAAGACTGGATTCAACACATTTGAATATGGTGCTGGAGCCTTCTACATGGTCAGCAACCAGATGACATGAGCTTGTGTGTGTGTGTGTGTGTGTGTGTGTGTACACACGCAGCTGTCGCTCCAAAGGTGAAAGTATGAAGTTCCGTGCATCTACAACCCATGTTAGATGACACTCGTAGTGTGAGTTAATATTATGAAACTATGGTGACCGTTAACATGTAGACATAACGACTCAATGAGTGGAATCTGAATTTTATAAAACTCGAAATCGAATTGGCGAATCTGGGGTCCCAGGAATACCTTTAGAAATGCCTTAGTGGAGGCACAAATGCAAGAAACCTGAATCAATTTATTGGTAGTGTAGAGCAGGCTATGTAGCTGCTATGGGACCCAGCCAAGAACACTTTAGTAAACACGACTGTTGTTTTACCCAAGGCTTATCCATACAGCTGGCTTATTTAGGAACCTATGGGGTAAGAACTGAGATTTTGATTCACGATCGGTGATCTGCGGACGACAAAATGTATTGTTCAGAGGTACACCATCTGGCAACGTCTCCAATGAAACTAACGCAATTAGCACTCGTTCGCACTCGCTGGAGGGGAGTGACTCAGTCGCAGATGAGGAGATTTTGTGGTGACGGTGGCAACTAGACATGGACACGTGCCCATTACGTCATTGATTTTGTCGGCAATATGCCCCTCTGATGGATGTGCTTGCACACACGCGAATCGCAACCACACCGCCACCCGTGACCTTAGACAGCACGTGCGCACCCCGCCGCCGCCGCCGCCAACACTGCTTTGGGAGAGCGTGCGCAAGCGTGCGGCGTTTGGGTGCCTCAGTGGATGAAATGTTCGCCTGCATGTCTGTGACCTCAACTCCATGCGTGTACATGCGCGCATCCCCGCGTCACCTCTGCAAAAATTTCCGAACAAGCGGTATAAAGGCATGCAAGTTTAAAAAAATTGGCACAAAATTAGATGTCCCTGATATTTTAATATGTATTAATTAGGGAGACTAAAATTCAATCCCTTGAGCCAAATCACCTGCGCCAAAGTCCATGTGGTTAGCCCCAAGTGGAGGCTTTTTGAGACGAGTGAAGTGCCGATAGCCATACAGAGAATGATGACTAGGTCTGAAGCATCGCAGTAAACGAACCTACATTAGGTGTCTCTAGTCCATTCACATAAAAGTGAATAATGCGTAATCGTACGAAAACCCGTTCTCTCGATTTCAGGTAGCCCTTAACCCACCTTCATTCGATACGTTCAAATAGTGGCTGAAAGTTTTGTGACAAATTGATTATAATAAGGGTCGAAATTATCGATGGTAATGGGGCTTTGAAACGTTGCACACCTGGACATACTTTTCGCAATAAGCGGGCCGCCAAATTTCCAGTGAGTGTGTTTTTGAACCTCTATCCTTCAGCAATTAGAGAACAGTGTATGGAAGTAGGGGTGCTGCGGTCATAAATCGCATCCCGACTAAAATGCGTCAGCGGTTTTATTGCTCCAACATCAACGAATTCACATTAACCACTGAATGTTGAAGGAATTCAAACAATAGGTTATACTCTACAGACGTTTTTTTGAATTATGAGGGAATCCATGTTTACATAATTATTTTGGACCGTTACTATAATCGTAACTTAATTATGCCCGCATATTGCAAAACAGTTTTGTTCATGCCCAAGTAGACGGTGAAACGGCACCTGCTGACTCTAGTATGCCACACGTGCTGGAAATGGATCTGATCCGACGCATTTGTAACTAGGAGACGACAATATACTATGGAACCAGGTAAATGCAGATAAAATCTTGAAGAGGCCATAAAATTTGTTGTGCCTGGGCTTGTTGGGAAGGGGAGGGAGCGGCGAAATTACCAACCGCAGGCACACGTCGCCTGAGGTTTGGCCGTCGCATCGGTGACCCTACTGTGTGACTGCGCAATGCAGACGGCAAACGGGCTTCACTGTTTTTAGTTCCGCCATCAATACACCTTAACTGTGAATCACTGAAAATTACAGCAGACGCAATAAATACCCTTTAGACATCTGTAAGGACGCCATTTGTTTGGCAAGTTGTAAACACTACTCTTAGTTCATGTTTCATCACCTGATGCTTTAAAGTAGCAATCCGGTAAATGGTTAGCGTGCATCGCTTAGTAGAATGAAAACTGAACTCCTAAACTAACAAGAAGGTCGTTTTGCCTATCCTACTGTGATGCAATTTATTAATTTTGTGCTACACGTACAAAGTAAGGTCCATCACCGGCTGTCTTAATCCAACTTATCAATAAGTGCATACGCTAAAAAGAGTAGGAAATACAGAACGCTAGTGTTCGGGGAGGTTTCAGTGTTTGAGCTCAGTGAGGAATGCCAAGTGGACATGCTTGATGACGTAATAATTTGGAGTTAGTTAAAACAAGCCTGTAAAATTTCACAGCGCACATTCGGACGAGTACATTTCTTGCAGGCAAACAAAAAACCATCAAAAAATGCAACAATGCAATGACACCTTCGTAGCTAATTGAAATGGTTTCTTCTACCATTTGAATGTGACACAATTTAGAAAAAAACAACGAAATTTGTTTTTGGATTATGCCGATGTACATCGGACAGCAGTAGAGAGAATTTAGATTAAATTGGAAAGTGGTATGTCTAATTAGCTTCATAGTAAGTAGAATCAGAGAAACTAGGTCCTCAAAACTTGGATGCACGAAATCTTTGGTTGTGACTTTGAAAAAAACATGCATTTAGAGGGATTTATATCGAGAGTGGTAAACATACTGTTTGGTTAGATAATTATCTATAAAAAGGTTACACACAGGTAATAAGGTCGAAAATGTTCGAAACTTTAGGCAAAGCCGCTGCAATCACTGGTGCACAACTGGCCAATGAAATCATGGCGATTAATGGCACTGGGTTAGGCAAATGGATATCGCGTATCAACGGTAAGATGTTGATTCGTACAAACAAATGCCCGCAAAGCCTTATTCTTTCTATTGGCTATTACAAGTCCAGTCTTACCCAGTAACTAGGATTGAGATCAAGATAAGGTACAGTAGGCATTTTATCAGGAGTGCACTTTTAGCGGAGGGCCTAGTGAGGCACAGCTGCCCGTATATCGAACCTTAACCGAGTTTCCTTTTTAAAAAACCCGAGAAATGAAGATGGCGAATGACTTACCAGTGTCCAGGGCGTTTTCCTGACCAGCTTGATTCGTTCCTCCGTATATGGACAGTAAACAAAGTACGAGTTGCAAATGGCTGCAACAAGATTTTGGAGGGCGATTTGTTCAGGGGTCTTCGGTTGTCTATAATTCGACGTCCCACCAGATGCCCTGGCGGCAGATGCGCTCGTAGCGGTGGCAGAGGATGGAGAAGGAAGGGCGGGATCTTGGTGAATCCTCACCTGCGACCCCCCAGTGGATTCCGGTTTCAGACAAGCAGGTTCAGGGCTGTTGGAACGGCGTGGCATGCGGCCGTACCTAACACTGTCTCTCGACATCCCCCTATCGATACACAGGCGGAAGCGGCAGTATTGACAACGGTTTCGGTTCATTCGAGTCACTGTACATTTACCATCACGTAGGCACTTATACTCTATTTGTTTTTGGATACTTCGTCGGAAGAAACCCTGAAGCAAAAGAGAAAATATCAGACCACCATATTTCGACAAGTTCACCAATCATACTGAAAAAACAGTGGACGTGGTGTATAAGTGCACTTAGTACTCATGCGAATGAAAGTCCAGGTTCTTAAATCCATGTGAAAAAGAGCATAAAAGACGCTTTGATATCAAGCCGGAGAAGTCGTCTAACTGCATACCTTTCTGATGAAATCAACATTTTAAAGGTTTGGTGTAATGAGTGCGCAGTTCTTGTAGATTTATGTGCCATGCATATTGTCACTTCACATACACGTCCTCAACCTTCCAAATTGATAAATTCACATTTTTTAAATCTTAAAGATGAAGACAAAATCTAAGCAAACGGGACCTCAATATCAACCTACCACAACCTACTTTAGAATAATCCATCCAACGCCCTAAATGTGAAAGTGTTGGGTAGATAAGATAATAAATCCAGAAGACGCAAAATGACTAACGGCGATACAATGGTCCTACGAAATCTGTCGCCTATAGAAGGATACTGTGACATCCAGTTAACTGCAACAGTTAAGTCCATTTTAGGTTGACGTGACAAATTCTATGTCTGCAGCATCTTTTCAAAAACCAATTATACAGAAGCTGGAAGAAGGAAATGCAAGTCCTATGGCTTAATGCATGTAGTTGATGAGTAAGCAAATTGAAAACATTTGTTAGATAGAGAACAGGATTTATAACAATTACTGAGGCAAATTGTCCTAATTGTTCATAAACAGTACTTAGATCTACATGATTTGACAGCTATTCGGATTGCCAATCACTTTATCGTGTAGACAATCACTGACCAATACAATTTTTTCTGCACGAGTACCCATTAAGACATTTAGAGGTTAAAAAAATACAAAGTTATTGAGCAGACAAAAGTCTGCGGACTTAAAACTAAATGCGGACAAAATGGTGTGGCTAAAATGATAAGGAATTGGGTTTTCGATTAGACAGAACTTTACCCGAACAAGATAATTGATTCCGTAGGCATAGATCATCAAAGACATTAGACCAGAAAGATGGGCTGCAGTGATGAGGAAGAAAAACGTGAATTTTATGACTGCTAAAGTAGCTATAGCAAGTAGGTACGACTTCAGAGAAAAAATAGAGTAAGAACCAAATTGGGAGGAATTATTGTTTCAGACACCAAACATGACGACTTTCATGTAAGTTCGATTTTGAATGGCATTTTTAATCGTAGCGACTGATGAAGTTGAAATGCGGACTCCTCGACTAAAAGGTCTGTTGAGTTATTGAAATAGCTACGGTCCACTACGTAATTGTTATTCGTATTTCAGAATTAAAACCTTGCAGTACAGTTTGCTACAATAGCAGTGCGGAGGCAGGTAAGTTATGGTGGCCTATATAGCGGCAATAAGGTGTTCTTCTCCAAATGTTCTCGTCCCAACTAATGGAAGTCAGTTCAGTAGGAAATTTGATCGGTGTAAGCAGGAGTTTAGTAGTAATATGAATGAAAATACTTACTTGAATTTAGCTGGTGTCATCCCAGGATGAAAATTGCAACTTAACAATTCTACGCAAGTTTCAATGTGAGCCTTAAAGAATAAATTCACTTCGAAACCGAAACGCCAGCCAGAGTAGATAAGTCTGTGCTAACACATCGACAAAATCCAAAATCTAGCTAACAAACACGAACAGTGGCAGGAGTTAATTTGTTTAACAAGTTTTAACCATTAAAATTTTCTTTAACTCACTATACATGAGCGGTTGATTGTGGGACAAGCGCACGCTTAGAGATAATCTAAAGCGGCTGCATCTGTAGTGTACCGATAGGCTTTCATGAGTTGTGCATGACTTCTCAAAGGCTATCCTCTCTGCACACCAATCTTGCTAATATCCATCCAAGTAAATCAGCACAGGTAACTGCGGGTGCTTTTTCATGAAAATCACTAACAATGCCACCACATGGAACAGGGGAAGTAATGGTTTTATACAACAATTTATTTCAATTATCATGGTTGCTTCGGCTTGAGTTACATTCCTGATTGTGACAGGTAACAGAAAATCCCTGAATTACCATAATCTAAGTTCAATTTGTGGAGAAAAAATCACCGGTTTCCATGACATGGCTCAGGTGTTTGCTCACTAGACACTGTTGCATATGGCTTTTATATGAGCATACCTAACCGGCCTAGATTTTGTGGATTGCCACATTAATATATGGGTGGAAAATTCAAGTGTGTAGAAATGAATTATCATGTTATTTTAAGTATGGCCGAGTCAACAGTTGAAGAAGGCAAATCACGAGAAGACATATTCACATCAAATTAGCTGCTTAACTACTCAAAGTGCATTATGCGGATGTTGATGGACGGTGATCGATAAAGTGCTCGTCAGTGTAAACCCAGAGGGAGGCGGTTTGTGCTACATATGTCATATTTGGCGTGCAATTCTGTATTTTATCAGTCGCAAAGGAAAGTAGTGGGGTCGTTAAAAATAATATGCAAAATTACTCCAAATATTCTTAGGAAAATAATTGAAATGCCTGGAGAGCATTGACGAATTGCAAAATGATTGCAAAAGGATAATGAGCATTGGTGAATGGGCACGCTATTATCGAAACTATAAGTCGATAGCCAATTATGTTTAAGCAATACAGATAAATCCTTCAATAATCAGAGATCAGAATTTAATTATTCATGACTTGCAAACCACGCAGCTAAGAAAAAACTGAAAATAAGGTTTTGTGTCTAGTTAATACCAAAGTGACGACGAATCGGCTTGGACTATACAGGCATGCATTGTTAACACGGCCACCTGGACTTTGGCTCTGAAATAGTCATAATATTCCCATAGCATAGGCAAGTGAATTGGACATATTAGTTGAATTAACTTTGGTGATATAGGTGAAACATTCGCTACTGGATCAACTATTTTTAAGAAAAGTCGGAGGAACTTTTGGTGGCACTGGTTCACAAATTTTTGGAACGGCAGCTAAGGAGAACGACAAGCATTCTGAGTTTCGGCGTTAGTCAAAGGCACAAGCGCTTAGATATATTCAAATCATTCAGGGTCTTTGAAAATATGATATAAACAGGCAGTAAATAACTTCTTTCTGGGAAAGGTCAAACTCATATGACAGCTTCGATATGGAAGGCTGACAAATAACGGCAGTGCACTCCTTAATTCAAAGGTGGCTAATGCATTGAGCAGACATCGTCGCAAACCGGATTAATCTAAGCGAATTTCTCAGACCAGTGATGAAGCCGGTTTGAAAATTGTACATAGGTTAAATATAATTTCAATACACAATTGCAATTCAATATTAATCCATACCTAGTAAATATGCGATACTCGAGGCCTTTCAAAACAGTCTGGATTCTTAGGAAAGCGGTTCTAATTTTTTTTTTAAAAATACAAACGGATAACCCTAAGAAGTGGATCAAAAATATTCTTCTGCTTCTACGACAAGGCTTCTAGGAAACAATAAGGGAAACCCTTCCGGCAGCTTAAAGTTATTAAGTAGTTCCCCAGCATAGTTTGGATTTAGAAATAAGGTGAAGGAATGTAGTTGTGTGAAAAACACGTGATCAAAAATCAAACTATTGAAGAAATTGGGCTAAATAGATGGAAAGAAAATTGAAACTAGACAATATTTGTTCTCAGGTGAGCCAAATTTCGTAAATGACCAAATCGAAAGGTGGTATTAAAAGAATATGAAACTTTTGGAGCCCGAGCGCAGTGAAATTTGTCGCTAAAGTTACCACCCTGTTCTTATTAATAAAACGGCAGAAGTCAGTGGTTGGTCTTAAGTCAATTGAAACAACATTTTGGCTTTCCACATTTAAAATATACACACAAGCAGACCTAAAATAACCCGTGTTTTATGTAAAATGCAGTCACAATAAATTCTAGATAGATAGTAATTAGACTCTGATGCTTACTGAACATCGATAATTAAATAGACCACTTTCATCACGAATCGACAATGTTTATGAAGCTTTCAATCAGAACCATGATGTCAGAATAAGATTTATCTCTGATGGTAAGACTAAAAAGGAAACTTCAAGGCCTTTGGTTAATGCACTATTTCGTTAGACTGAATCCTTCCCTATACTTTTCATTTCAAACGAATCACTTACTGGGATAAGCAAGGGTCTAAACATACATGTTTAAGGATTTTGGACACAGCAAGCGAAATTCTGAGCAAATTTAAGTATTCATGGGTCACCAATTTTCACACTAATAAGCGGGTTTTGCTGCCACTAATCTTATTTTATTGTCTTACAGCTAGATATTTAGAAAGTGAACCCATGTTTTGGCGGGACTTGGGGTGGTAGAGCAAATTTACGGATATTTTACGCTCATAATTGTGCAAATTTCAATAAAAACAGACGCCAAAAAGTTAGTAAAATGTGTACCTACCTTGCAACCCTCGCAAGAAATGACTCCATAGTGGTACCCACTGGCTTTGTCTCCACACACACGACAAGTCATAGAATTAGCCTTTATGGAACTCGTGGATGGATTGCCATCAACCATGGCGACATCTAAATTGGTATTGTTTACTGGTCGCGAGAAAGGGAAGTTTGGTTGCTGTCTTGAAGATATATTTTCAACCGAAGGAGTGGCACTCGTCGGCAGTGGCCGCGGGCTTACTGATGCAACGCTTAAAGGCTGGTTGGACCCCTGGGGCACAGATCCAAGATATCCAAATGTTAAGCGGCTGGAATCATTTGACGGGAGCCTGGGACTTCCAGAAAAGGTTGAATTCGAAGACGAGAAGCCTGGGGCAGTGGCAGCTTGCATATTATGGCGCAGGTAAAGGGAGTGTTGAGCTTGGTGTAGAGCAGAATTGTTTGAGTAATTAGGGGAGTACACACTGATACTTTGTGATTGAGGATTATTTGGAGTAGAATAGGAGTGAGATGGGGCAGTCCCCTGAAAATTTTGAAGGTACGGCTGATTCATGTAATTTCACGCACCTGTTGCGACAAGATTGAGATGCAAACGAGATTTTAAAGCAGTTCAGATCATTTCCAAATCTGGGAAATGACTAAGTAAAAAAGAGAAAAAAGGAATCACATAAGAAAGGCCCTGAAACACAATCTGATATTAAACATAAATGTGAACCTACACGACCACACATTTAACGCCATCACTTACCAGAAATTACAATGGTTTGGAAAAACATCATAAAGATTGTCGAGAAAAAAAAGGGAAAATACAAGTAGATAAAACAAAGACTAAGATAGGACAAAAACACATTTTGAGCACAAACTATTTTTTACTACAAGCACCCAAGGTTTTTTCATGATATTGAGTAGAAACACGAATTTTGAAGACTTAATTGACTTAAAAACAAAAACAATTTTTTAAGCCATGAGCTTCGTTTACGGTTACCGTAGACAGAATGACATTACTTTGCCTATATAATTCAAAAACATAATTGACATTACTTAGCAAAAAATATTACAGTGCAATTGATTTCATACCTTGAAGAATAAATAAACGCTCTCAGTGCAGTGAGATTCAACCTGACGCGATTTATGATATCCTGAAGGCTGTATATTCAATTTTTATAAATGATGCATTAAAAGCACAAGTAAAATTGAAAAACTAATGAAAAAGATTTTAATTTGTCATCTAATGTTCCATTAAGTGCATAAAACATTATTTGCAAAACAAAATAGGACTAACAGTTCCAACTTACTTATTAGGAAACTATGTTGCCAACACAGAATTTTCAACGTGCTGTTTGACCTCAATTAAAATCATGAATAATTCTTTTTGAAAGCTTTTTTTTTCGCCTAAGACCTATACCTTTATTAATTAACTTCTCTATCTAGCAAAATTTTAATACGCAATAAATTGTGTACCTAGGCTGTCAGGTTTTCCTTTAATCTATTCAAGACAATATTTACGAGGCGTTTGTTTAATGTGAAATTTAGGAGTCGTGTTAAGCAACTTAAGTGGGTTTATTACACCAAACATCTTAATTAATTAAGACGTTTAAGTGATTTGTGTTAATTCTATAGCAAAAATTTCACCAATTTTGAACATTTGCATTCTGTGTATTGGATGCGAAATTGTTCTATGTTTTTGACATTCATAACATGTCGAGTCCATTTTGTAGAATATCTTTTAGCATTGTGTTAGCAAGTTTAAACGAAAGCTTACTGAGCACGTAAAATGGTAAATGGCCTTTTCACTCAAAAACTTATTAATGCTAATTTCCCGAGGCAAAGCGTTTACCTATTCCAGCAGTTTCCCGCATTAACCCAACTTTTTGAAACAATTTACTTATAGAGTTAACATACTAGCACTGTAATCTACCTTCATAGCCCTTGCGCAATATCAAGTATCGAAGTCACTTTGAAAGCCGTTAAATGAACGGATTTCTTGATGATTAAATATTGATCAAATTTTACATGCAGGATGGCTGTTCTAAGATTCTCTTTGAATTTAAAGATATTTTTTAATTGACAAGTTCATCTGTCATGGATGACGTAGAGAAAATTTCCTAAGTGCTTGTCCTTTATAATTCCTAAATCGGATTACGGATAATTATTGCTCAAAATGACGGCCAAGACAAAAATAATTAGGACTTATTTAATACCAGAAAGTCGGAAATTTTTATATGCATTATACAATGCACGTTATATCTTAGTTTATGTGCTGAATATAATTCTTCAAAATATTTTCTAAAATCAAGCAACCATGAAATGGAATACTTTCACAGCATTTTCAGGCAAACCATTTCAGCAAGTTTTGAGAATCTATAACCATTTTTACCGTTGATTTATCAGGCATATCAAGATTTGCTTTCCATATTCTGTCATCGAAACTCAAAAGGAGATTTTTTTAGAACAGAACAGCATTGTTCGAATAGAAAATCCAATTTTTTTTGCCCGAATAGAAAGTCAACGATTCAATATATAACTTTTTCGGTCAAAAGGCAAATTGATTTCTATAATTTTTGGAGCCAACATAGTTAACGAGCGATTATCCAAGTTTTCTGGACAAAAAAATATATCAGATATTTTAAAACATTTGGCTTTCAGTGCAACCCCAAAAATGTCATTTAATCTGAACTGCTATTGGGTATGATTTCGTTCGTCGGTAGACCAAGTTTAAAAAGCGATCAGCAAGCGAACTAGACCTAAGAAAAGGAGGAGGTGAGGATATTGTTTTCCAACGATTTTACTAATGACCTGATATTTATGCATTAAGACGAGGTCTCACCAGCCATAGAAATTGGTTTTCATCACCATATTTTTGAGATTATAATTTATTTAAATCTGCAAAATGTAGATGGATTTTTCAAAAAAAAAAGAGGATACCTGACATCGAATTAAAAAGTCCTGATTCCTGAATACATGGCAATGCAAACCTAGCATCATCTTTGCCCCACTATTATCGTTTGTTAAAACTGTCCTTAGTTTACTGGTCGCATTGGGATACGACGCATATCAGAATTCCTGTTGGTCGCAGTATACTAACTTCACCAACAAGCTGTTTTCTCCGTCTACAGGTCTAAAAATGTCATGTCTCAAGATACCTTTTAATTAACTCATAAGTAGTTGTGATGAGTCACCTCATTACCGAACTTCCTTTTAAACGACATATTCAGACTCCAATATGTGTGACTGCACCTGCATTTGTCAGTTTTTTTCTGTCTTAATTCCAGTAAGCATTTCCAAGTATTATATAGATTCAGGTTAAATATGTGAAGGAGAATCTCTTAGTCGAAATCCTCATAGGATTGCAAAAGATTGCTACCCGAGACTCAATCGTTACAACTTCCGAAGGGAATTCTCCTTGGGCCAGTTGGCACACGACTCGAAATTCCCTCAATTTTTTCCCATATCTTGCTTGCCTCCATTCCACTTACAGGCTGTTGTAAACAGTAAAGTGCACAATAATGTTGACGCCAAGGCAGGAGTTGACATGCCAGACACGTGAAGAAGAAGAAGAAGAGAGAAGAGACGATGTCGAGCATTCTACAATACGCACGCGTTATCCTAAACGATAAAACATTGCAACAACAAACTGAGTAATCAATGAATGTTGAACAGCAAAGATATGGATAAAGACTTACGTTTAGCAGTTGGTAACTACATGTAGTGAACATCATAAGCAGTGCTCGTCAGTTCGAATTGTGACGCATTAGTGCAAACTGGCACAGTAAATGTCAAATATATAGAAAAACAAACGCCGACAACACACACAGTCGTTCGGCCTACACACGAGTACGCGATCGTGGCTCCTGTCGCTTGCTTTTACTGTGGTCACTGAAATTACAAGCTTTTAAGTAGGCAAACCACAGACTTCTTGATGGATTAAGAATCTGTCTTGTCCTAAAACTCTTTTCAAACCCATCCGGGAATGAAGACATTTTGAGTCGAGGCAAAAATTATTTGAGGACCAAATAAGTAAAAATATGCTAGCCAAGAAGCGGACAACTGTTGAAGGGCTCAATATCCACTGAGACATGGAGGAGGACACCTGGTCAGAAGTGGGCATCCGAAAAGAGGTCATGGACTCTTCAATTCTACTCATATCCAAAAAGTGAAAAGTGAATAAACAGAATCATTCGAAATTCTTTGATACAATGGCAAAACCCAGAGGTCTGGTTGGAAAATCTCGTCTACCATGAAAACCTAACATCCAACGACAAGCAGCAAAAAGTGCAAAGTGTAGGAGATAGCTCCTCGAAGTGTAGTTGAAGAAAACGAGATACCAAATGAAAGTTCCTAAGTGCAATATTTACTTAACACTGTATTGCGAGGTTCCTTCCATGTTTTATTGTTGAACCGCAGAGAAACGTGTGTCAATTTATGTCAATAACAAATTTGGTAATCGCCCTCTCTGATACGGCCACTTTGGTGGTTAGATCTGTCTTTTACTGACTGCCTTTTATCCTTATTAATGGTTAACTTTGGTTTAGGCTATCGTCTCTCAGAATCTGGGTCGGGGTTCGTCCTTTGAGTCATTCATGGCAGCATTGCAACGAATTGCCTCCATGGACTGCCTTGGTGACGTTGGGCGCAATGCGCACAATCCTCTCACTAAAAATCCCATTCATAACGCGAATCCACCACTCCATTATTACTACCATCACTATGGGAGTAAGTTTTAATGAAAATAGTTTGTTCCTGTGTGAATTGAAAGTGTTATTTTAATGCTGGTTGGGCATTTAGAGTCAAACTGATCTCTTTGTCGAGCTTTTCGTTTCCCCCCATTTTTCACTTATCGATTTTGTGAAGTGAAATTTGCCTTGCGAAACACTGCTTTTCGGTGTAATTGTTATTGAGGGTAAATAAACCAGGGTCACACCTAGTTATTGCTTTCTGTAAAGACATTTTCCACAGGTAGTCACGCCACTCGGCTTTACACCCTTGTCAATGTTGAAACCAAAATCCTAGGCTGAGAATGCGTAAACTTCCACTCGGATCGTCCGATTTGACTCTGCATTAGTTTTTTTATGCTGATCATCTTATAATTGAAGTAGCCTCGGTTCAAGGGATTCCGAAGCCTTC